AACAGATAATGAAAATGTGCTACATTCACAGAATAGAATATTATCCAACTGCTAAGAAAAATAAAATTTATCCATGTAACCACAGAGGTTAGGTAGCTAGAAATGGATCAGGGAGTAAGATGGGATCTTCCAAGGAGGAAGATGATGATGATGATGATGATGATGATGATGATGATGATGATGATGATGATGATGATGCTGCTGCTGCTGCTATGAAGAGATAAAGTGGGAACTGGAATATAAGGATTAAATGGAGAGTGGAGAGAGAGAGTAAAAGAGGAAATACGGGGGAGAAAAACTAACGTTAAAGGCCTTTTGAAAAATGTAAGCAACTTTTCTGTTTAACAGCCATGTTTAAGTATTTTCTTTAAATATTTTCTTTTTCCTTTTATTTTTATTGTAATTTTATTTATTGGGATTTTAATACAATTATATGATGTTCCCCTTCTCTTTCTGTCTTCAAAACTGTCCCATGTTACTTCTTCTCAAATTCATGGTCTTTAATTTTTGGTACATATCATATATAATATTATATATATATCCATGTATATAAATAAATACATATCCACATATATACATAAATAAAATGTTTGTGTATGTATTCCTGAAATATATAAATGTAATCTGCTTAGTATGTATAATGTTAGTTGAGTATTTGTGTGTTTCAGGGTGACCATTTGGTACTGGACAAGCAATTGTGCTCTTGCCTATTGGTCTGAAGGAGGGAATAACCAACAGTCCTACCCAGCTGTGATGTCTAGTTCCCTCTCTTAATTGTATTTTTCTTTCAGATGTTTCCTTACTGATTGGAATCCTGAACTGTTTTTAACTGACAAACAAAGCAAGATGCGTTTAATCTACTTGGTTTTTTTTTTTTTTTTTTTAGCTATATCTTTGTCACACTTCTAGACTACTTCACATGATAAGTGCAGAAATCTGCTGATCCATGCTTATCAAAGTTCCAGAGTTTATTGAGAAACAAGATTAATTTAGATAAATACAGTTATGATTAACAACCTAGTTTTTTCAATTGATTTGCTTTGATTCAATATAACTGCCACTGTACATCATCAACACACACACACACACGAATACAGATGAAATACCCACTTTGGTAAAATTAATTTTAAGTCTAATAGGAAGGAGTCCCACATTTATTGCCCCACCCCCATACACAAGTTTGTTACAGAATGAATTTCTCAGATGCTCTAATGCTGTTCCCTCCTTCCCCTTGAGAGGCCATTTTGTGCTTCTTCTGCTCAACATTGCTGAAATGAAAGAGAACGACCAAGGTGCAGGAAGTCCTGCTCTGTTGCTCTTTTGCCATCAAATGAGTGAGTCCCTTGGTCAAAATTTCTAGAAACGTGTGCTGCTTTTCATATCTCAGCTGACTTGTGTCTTGTGCCTTCCCTCCAGGTAGGCTTGCATTTCCAAGTACAGCCTTGGCATTCACCAGTATGAACAGTAGAGAAATCATAACATAAGAGGTTTTAATGAAGCTACTTGGAGAATCTAAAGGGAGCTGAATGTTTTTTGAGGATCTAAGAAGCCGATGATTCTCAGTGGCCTTGTGAAATCCTGTTGCCATTATATCTGATTCTTCAGAGAAAGAAAACTCAATGTAACATGTCCCCCAAAGCTGAAGCTTTCCACAATTAGGACTCAGCACACCACTTTTTTTGTAATGTTCAAACTCCTTCTTCAAGGCAATAGTTAAAATTGTGGATTTTCATTGTTAGGAATCTGAGGTTTTCACATAAATTAACAGTCTTTAGGTTGGTAAGGTTAGTAAAAAAAAAAGGGTCATGCTTTGGATGGTCTCACTTCCAGGTCCAGACTGTAAGTCACTGGAGTAAAAGCAAGCGTGAAGCCCAGCTTTGTCCTTGCCTGAACAGTCCTTTAATCAACATGCCATTTGCACCAGGTATTTGGCTGCTAGTTACGCTTTTCTTCCTCTGTGGCAGCCTTGCTAGACCGTCCCAGTCTGGATCTGGTGCCTGCCTCTGGGCTTCTCCCTGCTGTTGCAATGATCATGCATTGAACACTTCTCTTATTGGTCCTTATGCTTGAAATGCAGCACCTGGAGGGATCACGTATCCTGTGGGAACGGATTCTTAGCTCCGCAAACGTGAATGAGCCGTGTGACATCACACAGTGGGAACTTGGTCAGTGATCTGTCGGACTTCCTACCTCATGTCTACCTTGCAACCCTTACCTGTATGTGAAGTGAGTTTCTGAGCAGCACTGCTAATGTCATATTTAGCATTGCTAAAGTCTTCTTGACTATTTGACATATTAGAAAGAGGCAAAAAAATCAGCATTTTGTGTATTCTAAAATATTATTTTCCTGTTTTGTCTGTTTGTAGTATTAGTAGAAGCCAGTGGTTGAAGTCTGATGTCTTCCTCTATTGTGTCTTCACCTTACTATGTCTTCATTCTTATGTGTTTGTTATGTCCAGGAATTTCCCATGTACATGAGCAGGTTTGTACATTTACATTAGTTTTTATGCTGGTGGGCCTGTTTGATATATAATCTACACTTGCATTGTCCCTCAATGTTGCATTTTGGAATTTCACTAAAACAACCTCTGTTTCCCTGGTGCTCATGTCCTTTTGTTAGATTCCCCGTACCGCAATAGGGTGACTTTCCTGATTCTGGCTATGTTACCTCTTTGCTCAAAATGGCGAATGCTTAACTAAAGTTTATAACTATTATATAAACAAGGTCAGCAGTGTGGTAAATGCATCAGAGTCTGTAGGTGCAATGCCAGTGTTGGGGCAAGTGTGAGCTGAGTGTGCTGAGCAGCGCCGCCTGAGACCAAGAGGGGCACTATGGTAAGTTCTCTGTGCTAAGCATCCAGCCAGCGGGCCTCTCTTCAAGTCACCTGTAGGTAAGCTTTGGCTTCCAGGTTTTATGATAACATGTCTATCTCAGTAACACGAAAGAAAATGTCCCCTTTTCTTCATGCCTTGTGGAGTTGCTAATAACCAGTCCAGACAACGTTATGGGCTGTTTATGACTAACAAGAATTCATATGTCAACGCGGTAAATCCCACTGTGATGGTATGAGGTGGAACTGTAAGGCGTGAGAAGTTCAGGCTAGGTGGTGAAGGCGGGGCCCCTCTCATGGTGGTGTTCTCTGTATAAAACGAGGATGTGACTTCTGCACTTTTTTCTGCCATGTATGGATACAAGAAGGCAACCACCAGAAACTGGCAGTAACCCCAGGATCCCCAGCCCAGAAATTTGCCTGTTTGAGTTACCCAGTCTGTGGTATCAGACAACAGCAGCTGCAGCTTTCCACGGGTGACCCTTCCACTGTGGAGGGCTTGCTTGTATTGGCTTATCATTTTACAGATGGAGAAACTGAGCCACACGATACAGGGATGTGTTTGTATCTACTGCTTTTCACGCCAATCAACAGCGACATCTTCTTGGAATTGTGCCCAGTTCGCTAGACTCTGAGGCTAGAATGGAATTTGGGGGTATAGAGACATCTGGCTGGTGTGAGAAGGGCGATTGTCACTGTCACACTGCTTCTGTTCTAAGACGCAGCCCATGCATGGTCCAAGTCAGTGCTTACAGCGCAGTTGCAGCGGCTCATGGATTTCATCAGTGAACGCCATCTCTGGGAATATTAATTTTCTTAAGTAAACAACACACATAATATCTACCTCATAGCGTTGTGATTAAGAATAATTAAGATTTTTGTTCATTCATTTATTCAACAAACATTGACTGATTGATTGGTGGATTGATTGAGTGATTGATTGTAGATGTAGGGAAATAAAGCCAGGGTCCTTGAATATTTTTAGTTCATAGTTCACCACTGAGCTCCAACCCCACTACTAATGGTATTCATTACTATGTATCATAAACTGTATTCATCAATGAGGCTATGGAAGTGAACCAAGCATATCCTTTCCCCTAATGAAGCTTAGAGCCTGGTAGATTTTAACATTTGAGAGTCAGGTGAACTGTTCTTTACACAGGAAAAAAAAAAAGGCTCAGTTAACATTGCTGAGAACAAGCTTTAAATCATTTCTTTCTTGCTCTCTCCCTTAAAAATTAGCTAACACTGCTTCTTAATTATTGGAAATGTTCTCATCTTGAGCATCACTCTGCTTCTGCTGAAACAAAGAACAGATCTATCTTCCTGCCCTGGACCTCCCCTGTTCCCATTCTTCTTAAGCTAATTACTAACAGAAAATTTGGCACACATTCTATACTACGCTGTTTTTAAAATCAGCTTTTGAAATGGGCCGGCGCATATGCAAGAGCTTATGCATCGTACATGAGGGTAAGTCCTTCTGATAAAAAGCACTTTGAAAATCTGGTTAAAATTACTTACTTGATGTCAACCACACATCCCAGTCTCTGTGCCAATTTCGCGTGTCTGAGGATTCTGCCGGCCTCTACCTAGTCAGAGCATGCCTAGCAAGAAGAAACTGCGTGGCCAGGAAACCAGCTTAGGAACCTCAATAGAGGGAAAGTCAGCCTGGTGAGGTCCACATGAGACCTGCCCAGGAACTCAAGAGAAGGTCAGCAGGGTTAGCGTGTAAGCAGAGCACCACACAATAGGTAAGTTTGCAAAGTGAGTCTTGCATGCAGGAGCGGTTGGCTTCCTGCACCGAGCTACAGAGGTCTGTTTCAGCAGTGCTGTCTGCTGCTCTGAGCCACCAAGTGCCTGCTGACATGACAAGCTCCTATACCCATCTGTGCTGCAAAAACAGCACTGGAATTGGGTCAGCAGAGCACGTGACTTTAATACTCTCCCTCTGCCAGATAGACTGGCTTGGAGAAAAATGAACATCACGAGCAAGAATGATTAAAGGTCTTCTGTGTTAACATCTACACATGATCCAAAAAGCCAAGTGACATAGAGTTAGTTTCTCTCTAACTGCAAGAGGGCAGAGGCTGGTCTAGCACATACAACTCTGGCTCCAGCTCTGCAGAAGGCGAGACTCCCAGGCTTCCCTGGCAGAATGCAGAAACCTACCTTCCTTCCTCCCAGGCACTGCTGAAGTTCTGGCTTGGTTAGAATGTCGTGTTGGCAGTTGTGTGGTTGCCAGGTTATTTCTCTCCAGTCGCAGGTCCTGTTGTCTGAACAACTAAGGCAAGGCACAATCCACTGACCTGGAATATACAAGACTCCACTTGGCTTGGTTTCTGCTGGTGAAACTACACTTTGCAAGTATAGAACTCTGTGTCACCCAACTATGGAAATTAAAACGAGAAGAGCATTCTTTTCTAATAAACCCAGTGGGAAAATGCGTGGCCTCCTGTCAATCAAGCAAAAGAGCAACATGATGTCATGTTGTGAAATAAGACAGTTCATGCTGGAGTCAGAGTGAGCTCTGTCCCATGAAGCCACATGAGCACAAAGGAAACAGGTGACTGCCTGCTACTCAACCATCAACTTGCTTGTGGACTTCAAAAAGGACTCAGGTTGATTGGGAATCCCCAAGTTGTCAGTGGGCCCCGAACATTTATCAACCTAACACGTGACCAGGTCACCAGTACCACAACAGACATATTTCCTGTCCTCAAGAAATCTAGACACATCAGTATTTTGATAATTTGATAATCAGATGCTCAAGTGAGATACACAAGCATTTTGACAATTTATAATGTTCAAGAATGGTTACAATTCCTTCATTTGATTACTGGCACTTTGGGTGTAGCTATTTTCATTTATTTATTTATTTAAATAGCTGTGTCCTGTTAGTTTCCTCAAAGCTTGGATAAAGTGAGTAGTGTTCTAATATGTTTGGGGTGAGGCTGACAGCGTGTTGCTGATTCTGGATTAATAAAAACTTTTAAAAAACCTGTTTATTCCTTTTGTGGCGGGGGGGGGGATGCTCTGTAGATGGAGGCCGCCAACGGCTGTTGGGAGCTGGTTTTCTCCCACCAGGCTGAGGCGGCAGGTTCTCATTTGTTTGTTATTTCCACTGCTGCATCGCTTACTCCAGCATAGCTGGATTGGGAGCTTCTGGGAGAGTCTCTGTTTCCACCCTCTCCTGTTTCCTTTGGCGTTCCAGGATTTCAGCTGTGGGGCACCAGACCTGGCTTTTTACATGGATTCCAGGGACTGAACTCTGTTAGGCTTTCACATCTAGCTCTTGTATCCTCGGAGCCATCACTCTCTCCAGCCTCAAGAAACATTTTTTTTTTTTAAATAAAACTTTCTACTTTTTCTGAGTCTGATTTGTGGTGGTGTTTGCAAAGTCTCTACTGTGCTATGAATTGCAGTGGGAAGATTTTCAACTTTCAGGACATGAATATAGTACCTTTTACATTCATGACCTCAGGGGTGTCAGAATTGTGTATGCGAGTGTCGGTGTGCTGCATTGGTTGTAAATAACAAACTATAAAGTGAATGTAGTTCATGGCTTTTCACAGATCTGCCACAGAAAGGGAGAAAAAGTGTCAGCGTATTAAGAGAAAGGAGCTGGGAGGGAAAAAAATGAAAGGAAAAGGACATGAGAAAATTATGTATTGCGAAAAAGGAGAGCAATGCAGGTCAGGGTGACCTCGGCAGGTAGTGTCAGTTGCGGCGGGCGCACAGCACAAAGACTTTACAGAAGGCAGCCCGTATGGCCTCCTGGCCATATTTGTTTTTCTTTTCTCTGCTTTTTAAATGTGAAGAGAATTACAGAAAAATGCCTCATTCGATGGCTCCCCTTGGGTATTTTCAGCTTCAGGAAGGGTCACCATCACTCTAGTCCTCCTTGTGCAGACCACTCTTTCAGTGTATCACAGCTTCAGGCATCGAGGGTCTCTCCTGGTGACGTGTTTGTATGAGGTGTTACAACATTAAAATGTCACAGGGTACTTCGACATTCCAGGCATATTTAAGTGTTTAACACATTAACTTATTTAACCCTCAGAACTATCTTGCCACCTCTCCAACTGGAATTCCAAAAGGTGAATACTCTGTTGCTTTCCACCAGAAGAGGCAATGGATGGAGGATTTGAGCTGAGTAATCCGGGGGGGGGGACGGGGGCACATTTTTAATTATAATGCTAAATCTAAGAAGAACAAGCCTTGATATTCAGATTCCATCTACACATTAGCAGGCTTGCCATTTGCACATTAGCAATCACAGCAATATGCAAAGTTGAATAGGCTCAGCATCCTCCAGCTAGCTTGTGGAACTAAATTTTGACTACAGACCTCACCCAAAAAGCTTTTTAAAATTGTTGTGCCTAGAGTGATCGCTGGTGCAACATGAAGTATGGGACTTAGCCATCTATATTTTTTAAAAAATGCTTTCAGATGGTTCCACAGCAGAGCCGAGGCTGCAGCTCACTGTTTCAATTGGACAAATGGCTTAATATTTTCATGATTAAATTTAGTACTTTATGAGGAAAGTATGCATAGCACCTGCCATGGTGCCTGGCACTGAGCTTCTCATAAATAGACTTAATCCTGTGTCCTGACCACAAGTATGCCATGGTGGTTCGTAATAAAGTGAAAACAGAAAATTCTGGAAATTTCATTAGATGCAAACAGGTCTTTCCTGAGGGATGAGATTCAGAAGTATTGAAAGTATGATGATTTGGGAATAGTGAAGGGATGACTCTGGTAGGGGTGAGACAGAACTGACAGGTCTCCACATGGATGCACACACGGGGAAAGTGTGGGGTCTGCCAGGCAATGGATGGTTGTTTCCTTCAGTGTGCAGATAGATAGATGATAGATAGATAGATAGATAGATAGATAGATAGATGATAGGTAGATAGATGATTTGATAGATGATATATATATATATATATATATATATAGAGAGAGAGAGAGAGAGAGAGAGAAATAGATGATAGATATATGATAGATAGAGAGACAGACAGACAGGAAGATGGGTACTATTGTTCAAAGACAGCAATGGAAGAGTCATAGAAGGTTTTAAACGGCAAAGAGCAATAGAGATTTGCCTCCAGAGCTGATTCACCCGGGATGGAGTTGAAAGAGCTGGTCCTCAACACACTCTTGTTTCTCAGATGAAGTAAACAGAGGCATCAAGAAGTAAGTAAAAATGAAGAAAGTTTAGCCAGAATTGGACTATTACCAAGACTCTACATTCCAGATAAGTTTAAAATCATCAGTTGAAAATGACTTATGACCCAATAAGTCTCTTTAGGAGAACCGTACTGATGATGTTTTTTCTTTATTTTTAAAAAGTTTAATTTAGGGACTGGAGAGATGACTTAGTCGTTAAGAGTGCTGGCTGTTTTTGAAGAGAATCTGGGTTCAGTTCCCAGCCCCCCCGTGATAGCTTTCAACCATCTGTGACCCCAGTTCCTGGTCTCTGCAAATAGCAGGTATGTTCATGGTGCACATCCATGTATGCAAAACATTTGTAGGCACAAAATAAAATAATTAAAAACTTTTTTCATGTTGAATTTACTCAGTGAATATACGTGTTGGTAAAGGCAGTGGTTGACAGTTGATAGTATTTTCTTTATCTATTTGTTTGTTTCTTTCTACTTAATCAGATTCCTATATATCCAGAAGCATCATGCATCCAGAACATTTTCAGTTCCCCAACCTTGCTGATGGCTAACGTTCTATGAACTGAGGACCACGGTGGCTACTTCCATTATGAAGAAAAAGCGGTCAGCTATTAAAAAAAAAAAACCACTCAAATATGGATGCAATTAGTTTTGGGGCATTAAGTTTTACATCCAGAGAAGAAGGCTTGATTTGGTATCTGCAAACTTGGCCCCTATGTCACATACTGCTATATATTTATGTAGCCATGACTCGCTCTGTTTCTGAATCCGTTAGAAATGCCTTTTTATATACGGGCAGTTGAAGTAGCCATCTGTATAACATCTGTAGAGCTGGGATTCTTGACATTTTAACTGACACCGGCTCTTAACTAAAATTGTGGAAAAAGGAGGGGCATAAACCCTATATTATATAGTTAAACACCGGATGAATCAAAGTAATGACATTCTGAGGAACAAAACTGTCTTTTAGAAAAAGTTATTTTCTATATAGTTTGAGCTCTACGACGAATGCAAATGAGGTTCAGCCACTTGAGTGAATCGAATTGGATGGTATCACGGAGAAAAAGTGCTTTGAATTTAGGACCATGGTGGATATAAAACCATGCAAATACTAATGCTAATTCCTGTGGTATAACCTCATAAAATAAAGGTCTTTTTTAGTGAATAAAAAAACCCATACATAATAAAGTACTAGAGTTTTTCATTAAAAGTAAGTTATAGAGAGATCTTTTTACTTTTTGTTTGTTATGATTTGAGGTTTTTTAAAGTTCTTATTTAATTATCATTATATACATACTTCCTTTCTTCAAATTAGAAGAGTCACTTTTACTGTATTAAGCAATTATTAACTTTTTTCCAAGGTGACATAAATCACTTTAGGAATGGAAAAGAAACCCAGTGATTCAACAGTATATAAGCTAGTACAATTTAAAAAAAAGACAGTTTGGTATTAGTATATTCCAGGTAATTAGAATGAATCTGGTTTTGCAAAGTAATTGTAGCACACTCTTAAAATAGCTTTTTGGGCCAAAAAAATAGCTATTTTGACTAAACCTATAACTGCTCAGCATATTTCTTTCCAGCATCGTGTACCATAACTTCTCCCTTAAGATGTAGAAAGTCCTTTAATGAATCATATGAAAGAAGGGGGAGTTAGTATGACCTGGAGAAGACAGGAGCTCCACAAGGACCAAATACATCTGGGCACAGGGGTCTTTTCTGAGACATGCACCAAGGACCGTGCATGGAGATAACCTAGAACCCCTGCTTGGATGTAGCCCATGGCAGCTCAGTATTCAAGTGGGTTTCCCTAGTAAGGGGAACAGGGACTGTCTCTGACATGAACTCAATGGTGGGCTCTTTGACACCCACCCCAGGAGGAGCAGCCTTGCTAGACCACAGAGGAGGACATTGCAGCCAGTCCTGAAGAGACCTGATAATCTGTAACTAATATAAAAAATAAAAATTTAATTAAAAAAAAAAGAAAGATGGGATCATTTCTGGGAATGCACAGTACATTCTAAAAAAGTATTGTCTAAACTATGTCAGTATCATATGGGTCTGTGGGCCTTTTGGTGCCGTGTGTGTGTGTGTGTGTGTGTGTATGTCCTCCTGATTATGTCATAGATTTCTGTGGAAGGGGAAAAGGTTTAAATCTTGGCTAGTTCAGTAAACCTTTTTGTTTTCATTGTCTATTGGACACTGGAAGGCTCGTAGGGACAATTTATGTTCCCGAGAAGTGTAATCCAGGGATGCCATCAGTAAAAACGTCCTGCCTGTTCACCCTTGACGTCTTAGTCCGTGCGTAAGGCGTGCAGCTACTCCCATGTTTACGTATTGTGTCCATCATAAAACATGAAAATAAAAATGATTAGATACAAAGCAGACGCACATATATCTTCATCTTTATTGGCTTCGTCCTCAGGGCTGCCCTGTGCTGTTTCTCCTCTTCATGCTGTTTACCACAGCATTCTGGGAGACCATTGGTCTCAGACGGATCCAGGGAAACACACACTTGAAAGAGAAGGAAGTAAGCGTTGTGATAACTCCAGGCCTGGGCGGCTCTGGGAACACAGAGCAGCTACACTGGGAATGTGGTGGTAAGAGGCCGGTTGGAGAGGAGGGTATGGGCATCCGATGGGAGGAAATGGCAGGAAGAACACATGGAGGGAAGAGCTGGGGATCCCAGAACAGGGGTATCGGGACAAAGTGAGGCCAGGAGCCTGAGAGGTAGGGAAGAGGCGAGGTCTCAAGGGAGGGAGGCTTGCAATTTCAGGCTGTAGAGCATGGCGGTCAGCGCAGAGCCTTTTCTAAAGTGATTCTAGTGGTGAGCCAAATCAAGTCCATGCAATTAAGTATTCGAGGGCTCCTTCTCTGTGACATCCTCCCCCATCGGGACGTTCAGACAGGGACGTTCAGAACTCACAGGCTAGAACAAACCTCTGTCTGCTGAGCAGAAACAGTGTCACGAACTTAGAGGGAAAGAGCTTTGACTCAGTCGTGGTACAGGGAATAGAATTAAGTCGTTTTACGACTGCTGTAAATTGTCATCTGATTAAAACAATACCGAGCTGGACACATAGGTGTCTACTCTGAGGGCCGTCTCCGTCTCCTCCGGCAGGAAGGTCCAGATCACGGCACCTGACCCTCCTTAACAGGCGAGTCCCTCCCTGGCTGGAGTTTCTTATTTAGAACACATGTTCAAGAATGGGACATACCCACGCTGGCTAACTGCGTGCCTAATTGCAATTTGCCCTGCCCATTTGGGAAACACATTTCCCTCCCCAGCAGCCGTGTGAAGTTCACGGCAAGGCTAGCACAGCTGCGTGTGCTTTCTCGGGCCTTTCTGAGGAGGGGAGTCCTGGGGTCCGGATGGAGCAGTCACCGGGACAGTTGAAGAACACAGGAGCTGAGTCTTAATCACTTTGAACTTATTCTCAGGGTCGGCTTTGCTCGACCTCACTCCCTCGCTGCTGGAGATAACCAAAGGGAGGCCAACTCAGAGAATGGTGTCAGAGAATTGTCTGTTCACGGCTTAGGCAAGGTTTAAGGCTGCAATCTGAAATCCTCATTTTCCCATTTATATGAATGCTCAACATCATGAGGGGCATTTGTGGTCATTTTCAATAATTTCTCCAGAACAGAAATGTTTATTTTTTTACCCGCCGTGTGTGAATCAGGCATAAATCATGTATGTGTGCAGTGAGCGGCTGAAACATGGAAAGGGAACCGGTGAGGTGCTCAGTGGGGGAGGCTTGCCTCTGCGCCTGAAGGCCTGAGCTTGCTCCCAGAGACCCACATGATGGGAGGAGAGAATTGACTCATGCAAGATGTCCTTTGATCCCCATGTGCTCTCCTTGACAGGCACAAGCACACACACACACACACACACACACACACACACACTCAGAGAGAGAGAGAGAGAGAGAGAGAGAGAGAGAGAAACACGCACAAATGTAATAAAGAATAAAGCGAAAAAAGCCAACTTCCTGCCCTCATGAAACCAATGTCTTGGGAAGAATGACACTAAACAATGACTCACATACTTGATTACTTGTAGAGATTGTGACCCAAGAAAAAGCACAGAGTTAGGAAACGAGTGAGAGGCTCAAGGAAGTCTCCTGGAAGAACTGACCTCCGATCTTCGATTTCTAGATGGAAAGGGGTTAGGAATGACGCATGAGAAGGGTCTGATTAATCATACATTTTAAATATCAAAACAATGCTTTTACATTTATAACATGTCTTGATGCTTAGGTGAGTGAGAAAGTAAATCCTTGGTTAAAACAAGGGCCACAAGTATCACTTGTGGACTAAGGGATCTATTTTAGAGAAAGGATACTGAGATAATCACCTTTCGTGTCCCCAGATGGACAACTCTCTATTTCAGGCCTCGAAATGGCTTCAATGTAGTCTGAAGAAATAGGCTGCAACCCACAGGTTTCTTCTGGGTGAATCAATAAACCACAATCCTGCATTAAAATAAAAAAATATACACGTCTGTCACTGTCGTTCACAGACCCCATGATAAGAAACCTAAAGAGTAATATACAAAGCAGAGTCCTGGGACTCACAAGCCAGCCTAGGCTACTTGGCAAGTTCCAGGCCACTGAGGTACCTTGCCTCAAAAATGTGGATGGTCCTGAGGTTCTTTGGCCTGTATGAGGCGGCACATGCATGTACATCTGCACACACACACACACACACACACACACACACACACACAGGTATACCTTTACATACCGTGTGCACTCATACACACTCACGCAGAGAGGGAGAGGGAGAGAGAAGTATTTATTTTCTGTGACAAATAGCTTTTAAGGATGAAAGGAAAACAAACTCAATGGGTGTTAGAGAGGTGCTTTTCCCTGTAGTTTCGTATACTGTGCACACATTTTATTGAATAAGCGAGCGAAGAGACACTTTGGGAAGAGCTCACTGCACTTGGGAATTTGAGACCTGGCCATATCATGATCCGGCTGTGATATCAAGTCACATGACTTCATTTCCCCTTAAAAAATGGTGAAGGAGAGAGAGAGAGCGAAAGAGGGAGGGTGAAGAGGAAGGCATGCATCACATGATCTCGAGTTCTGTGACTGTCTTAGGGGTCGACACAACAGCTACCCTTATTTCCTTCCTCCCATTCATCTTGTTTTGTTGCTGTACGTAGCCGCGTGCTCGGGTTTAAAACAAAACTATTTCTAAGCATTTCTCATAGATGAAAGTGGTCAATGGGTATAGATGCTGTCTGAGAACCGCACATGAGCTTCAGAAAAGGGGGTGGATTTCCAGAAAAGGTTAATGTCCCCAGTAAAAACCTCCCTTGTCACTCTGTATCTCCTTTCGTTTGATATGCAAATATGAGACTAGAGAATGAGCATCCTTCTTGTGACCCGGAGGCTGCCTGGAGCAGGAAGTGCGAAGATGGCACAGTGGCTGCACTTCTGCAGATTTCACATTAATAGGGGGGAAAAGCTGTAGGAGAACTGACAGCGCGGTCGGGTTAAAATCTACCTGGGTTTCACGTCTCCTTACTTTCCTCCCTGAAAGAGAAAGTTAATAGCAGGCACCTTTGTCTGTCTTGCAAAAATAAGTGACAGGAGTAGCTGTCCGGTGAGCAGAATTGCCGAGAAGCCTGTGCTACTGTGAGGTAAAGTTTCTTCCTCACAACAACAACAACAACAACAACAACCCACAGACAAAAACCCAAAACACCAGTTTCCAATGATTTTTAATTTAAACTTATCTGTGTGGAAGGGGGCGTATGGCTGTGCGTGCCATGTGGCCTGTGTGGCCTCTGCTGTTGAATGTTCTGAAAAGAGCCCTTGCTTAAGCTACTACCAGTCAGGTTAGCGCTACACACAAAACAGCCCCGGGTGACCTTACAAGCTGCCAACCCCAACTGACCTCCACTCTATAAACTTCCCCAGAGCTCACAGGAGCCCTGGTTTCTGGGGCTGACTTGTTAGCAGTCTCTTCCTTTTCCTTAGCATCCAACTAATCCCTGCACCTTTGCTTAGACTCTGTCCCTCTGACTTAGCTCTTTTCTCTCTTGACTTTCATTGTTGCATTTGTATTCATTTACCATTGGAATTGCTTTGACTTCTTCATGGACCTCTCTTGCCAGCCCCATCACTGGCCCATGTATCCATTTCCTGCATTGTTGCTAAACATCTTTTCCCAGATGTATCTGGGATCCTAATAACTTCCCTTTCTGCCTGATTCCATTCTCTAGACTGTATTGCATGTCCTTTACTTGGTCCAAATAAGCATTTGCTTGTTCAGGACATCTTTCTCTATTGTCACTGTGCCTTTGTACACACAGCTGTCTCCTCCATCACCTGCTTAACTCTTACTCACCCTCCACGCCTGTCTTGTGTCTGCACCTCTTCAGGAGAGATGGCTCTGATGTTTTAATGTTGGGTGTGTGTGTGACATTACTATTTTCTTACAGTACTGTGGCCACTTACTTTCTCACTTAATCTTTTGCTGTGAGGAGAGAAGGCCTGACTTCTAAGTTTATAGCTTCTGTCTTTTCTACCATGTCACCAGAAACACATCAGATATGCAAGTGGATACTGTTAAGCCATAGATGTATCATGAGGGACACAGAAGGCTTGGCTCAGCGCAACAATCATTTTGTTGTCTTCCAATCATGAGGAGAAAAGACAGTGAGTTTAACTCAGTATTTCATCCTAGGGTCTTTTAAAAAGTTATTTTTAAAGAACTTCCGATTCTTTTATTTAGAACATGTCCTAAAATATGACCCCTAAATTATAGAAGAGAGCAGAAATCAAATGGCATTAAATGAAACACTTAGAATATTGTTGAGGAATATTGCTTAAGTCATTAGAAAATGATAGCTCCTGACAGAAACAAAGTAAACTTTATTTTTTCTGAAAAATCTATCATAAGGATCTTCTAAGATACTTTCAAGGTACACTGTAAGATATAATATTTTATGAGTACTGTTAAAAAAAGAAAAAGAAAACTGAAGTATTTAGGTTGTGAGATTTGCTAGGTTTCTTTGTGAAAATCAATGTACAATTTTTATTTTGAAACATTTGTTTCTCTTTGGCACAAAGAAGGTTTTCTTAAACTCATGCTGAAAAATAAAATCATATGTCCTGAGTTGAATGTCGCTCAAATTTAAGATCCTTATTAAGAAAAACTACTTGGTGCCATACTTAAATTAATATGACCATTTGTGCATTTAGGATATGTGAGTTTTATTGTTATAAAAATTCCAAATTCACAAATATGAGGAGAGACATTTCAAAAAGCATGCTTAGTCCAATATGCAATGAGTAACTTTTCTGTTTGTGAATACTGGGATGGATATCAGTTGATGATGATTTGCTAAGTGGAGTTGTACGATACCTTCCTCATGAAAAACTTCCTAACAAAACCTTCATGTTCTCTGCTTTAAGACTGAAGCATAAACATCTTCTATACACCAGCCCTCATATTAGGTAAGTTACAATTATTGTCTTTACTTTTTCTTATCTCATAAATTTAAAGATAAGAAATTTAGAGAAAAGAGAAATGCTATGGGAGGTAGGATTTAAACTCATGTCTGCCTCCTGTTAAAACTCAGCTACCTTGCCTTGGAGTCTTGATAATGGCCCTGAAAATAGAGCAAGACATTACTTTTGTCATCTGAATTAAGCCTTTTGGGGAAAGTCCAGTATTTTTTCTGCTTTGCTCCACCTTCACTTCAGTCCCAGCTGGAATTCAGTTGGTCAAGATTCAGCTATACATGGGCTGAGTTTGGTGTACATTAATTTATAATGTGAGTGTATGGCAGCAACAATGATCATGAGCATTTTAATAATCGTTTTAAACAGGCTCCCAATTGAAAATAATGTCAATGTATGGTATCAATGAAAATAGAGATTCATTTGTGGATACATCCCAATTCCATCTAAAAAAGCCATTAGAATGAAGACAAAGGAGAAATAAAAGCAATTATGTCTTCCAGAGAACCTGGCATGCTACAAGTCCAAGTTTCTAGATGTGCTCATTAGTGCAAGAGCAGCATGAAGAGGGTAACCAGTCACTTTGGGCTTACATTTGAGGCTTGCTCCACAGAAGAAGATTTATTCATGGCACTATTATCCTATTCCAAAGCCCAAGGCTTCGAAAGAAGGTCTACTACTGCTGTTTTGCTAAATTCATGTGTTGTCAAGTTGATATGTGTATCACATCTGTACAGATACATAAATATGTGCGCACACACACACACACATGCTTCTACCTTTAGAACAGTGTTGTCATCAGCCTTGGCCAGAGATGCTTCTCTCTGAAGTGGGTAGCAATTAATGTAGAGACTCATAACTGGCCAAAGGGCTGAGAAGAAGTGACAGTTGAATATAGTTAGACTTAGATGGTACATCTTTGTCAAATCCCCTTCTAAATCTTGGGCAACATCACAGAAGAGAAGCCAGGAGAGTTTGGAAGTGTGGTGTGAAATGCTGTCTTCCGGACATGCCATACCCATTGTGTTCATGAACTCATTATGGCTATGGTTCCCTTTATAAGACCTGCACTTCCAATAGAACATCTGAACACATGCAGTGAAGAGCCCTCACAGAGGGTGAGATCATTCTTTCCTCCCTAAGCAAGTGTCAATGAAAATGTGGCCATACATTGTATTATGAAAGTATTCTAAGTTAGTTCACAAAGAACTCAGGAGGAAGAAAAACTGAAACAAATTACAAGCAGATGAATTCATTATTTTCCATTTAATATATTAATATGACATCAATATTTGGAATACTTCTTTGTATTTCTCATGCATTCCACATCTCTGAACTAATATGAAATTTTATTTTCAACTTAGACCTTAAATCAGCTAAGACAGAGCCACTATGATCCTGAGGTCCAGTCCGAAAAGCACCCGGCAGTCTTGGTTGAGGAACATACGCGTGCCTCTGGGCTTTGTAGAATTTAGACTGGAAAATCTGGGGATCTGGGGCTTGTGAATGAAAAATGCTTCCCACTTCCGGGGATCTAGAAACCCTAAGGAAAGCAGCCTTTATTGTGGTTGCTTAGCACTTTTGGTTTTGGTTCCAGCTGGAATCCAGAAGGGTAGATATAAAGGCGAACAAAAAGGAAAACCGATGTTACATGTTTGGATATCTGAAAATGTTCAGCCCCTTTGGATTCGTGAACAAAGCAGCGCAGAGCTGGAACTGAGCGTGCTACTCTGCGCTTTCTTGCACTTTGAAGAATCTGGATCTGTTTGGGAAAAGTCAAAACAATAACAACAACGCAACAACATCAAGAAAAGGTTATTTCCCATTTCAAAGAGCAAACCTGTCCTCTGTAGATGAAAGCTGAAATGGCAATGACTGGAAACAGCCTGCAGGCCCCAGAGATGCTTCTGAAGACAACTGTGGGCCAATGTGTGCTTACCCGTAATGGCGAGGGCAAACACAGCGGATGCTTTCCATATATTCAATCATAAGCA